AAAAAAAAAAAAAAAAAAAAGCCAGGAAACCCATGTACCTTGGCATAGACTCAGGGGAGTTGCTATAAAATATCAGACCCATGGTGAGAGAATGCATATGGCTCAAAATAAGCCACTCCCAAAGCACAGATTCAGCAGTTGGGGATAAAGTCTAATGAAATCCCAAATCTGTGTTCCAATTGCAGGTCAGAATCTGGTGATGGGCATCTGCCCACTATTTGCCGTGAAGATCATGATGTTCGAGATTATTGCAATGATGATCATTATTTTGGAGAGCCCGAATATTTTAGTGGAGAAGAGTATTATGAAGAAGACAGCATGTTGTCAGGAAACAGGTGAGCTCACTAGCCCTCTCTGGAAAAATCATTAATATAGTATGCACATACCAAAAAATCCATCCAAGTAAGTACTACACTATTCCTAGAAAACAGCAGTGAACAACTGCAGAAAATGTGGCTCAGAACTCCATGTGTTTGGGTGTGAAATGGAGACCCCCACAAGGCTCTCTAACAGAATTCAACAGGAGGGACAAAGGCATTTTAGCTCTTTTGAACTGTATAGAAGCTGTTTGGTCCCAAATCAAAAAAAGCTGTTACATGTCCAAGACAAAATTTTAACTTCAGTATCACTAGGATCAAATTCACAGGGAGAACTTTTGAAAACGTTTCCAGTTTGATCCGTAACCTCAGCAGGATCCAGAGATTCTGTGATTCTCCCCTCCCCACCCACCTTCTCCCCTCAACCCCCCACAGTCAACATCTTAACTTTAGAGATTTTAAGTAAGTAAACAAAAACCCAATCTCTGGATCTACTCATGGCTTTTGCCAGGTTCCTAACTTGGGCTAAAGGCAAAGGCTGGACAGTTGGGATGCCCTCTTTCATTTGGAACAATTTTACTTTATGAAGCCAGTCCTTTTACACTGGTGATATTTCATGGAATGCAAACACTTCCGTGTAAAGAGCAGTGCCTCTTACTTGTTTGTTTGGCAATAGGAGAAGCTTCCCTGTTTCATTAACTTAGTATACCCTTTTGACAAATCTTTCATATCACCAGCTTAGAATCTCCTTTTTCATCCTGAATTAGTCACAGATTTATTCCTGCAGGACCATGGGTAGATTGTGTCCATCTTCCTTGTCCACCTTCCTTAAAATAGATAAGCACCATTTCTGCTGAGCTGCTACTTACTGATAGGTCCTAGTTCAGCAAATTCAGCTACTTCACAGAAGTGTTGTGAGCCTCCACTTTCTGATTTAATTCACAAAGTCTGGTCCAAGGGAGCATCACTAAATGAATCTAGTGCCTATTTGCCCTACATGTGCCTGTGGGTACCTACATATGCCAGACACATGCATCTCATCTAGTGCTGTGTCAAGGGAGGTCTCCCCCCTCTTCTGCATACCCTACTCTGGACTCTGGAAAACTCAGGCTAATGGCTGGCCCTAAAGTTTGAAGTAGTAATTTAAAAAATCTTTTGATTTCTAGAGCTGAATTCTTACAGAATAATCAGAATTGGTCCACTAAATTGAACAACTAAGCCTGAGTCCCAAGTCTACCTTCATTTCCTCTCTTCATCCACTCGTGATATGATATTAATTTTGATCAAATATACCTCCTGATTTTTTTTTTTGTTCAAACAAGTTTAATGTGTAACTAGTGCTAAAAAAATCCAAGTATACCCACACTCTCACAATCCATGCACAATTCAGAATTGGCACATCGATAGCGAGTTATATCATTCAAGATGTTTTGTTTTAATTTTAAGGTTGCGGCAAGGATCAGTGTAAATAACAATGGCAGAAATGATTTGTCCTGGCAAACAAAGGCAAGTGGATCAATTCTTTGAAATTTCCCTCATTAACCTTTTTTTTTAAATTCAGGCATACATCGGACTATAACTACAGATATCACTGTCATGACTCTGATTTTGAGCGACCAAAAGGTTACCATCACCCGCATGGGTTTTTTGAAGAAGATGATTCACAGATCTGTTATGATGCAAAAAGATCTCCTAGAAGACGGTTGCTACCTCCCACACCAACACGTGAGTGCATTAAGAATGTTTCTAAGTATCTCGAATTGTAGTTTATGGGCACATGTTCAGTCTGCCATGAAAGCTGGATAGAAGAGAGAATGTTCATTTGTCCCTTGAACATAGGGAACCCCTTGTAAGCCCACTCCCTGCTATATCTTGTGTTGTTTGAGAGTTAGCTTCTCTCATTAGTATATTTATGAACTTTTTAGAAAATAGAAACTTGTGTCTGTATTGAGATGTAGCACACAGAATCTACAGATAGCATATAACATATGTTTCCCTTGTTCTACTTTTCTTTAATTTCCCCCCTCCTCCCAGCCCCTTACTAACAAGATATTAATATAAATAGGTTACTAATATTACAAAGAGGTAAAAGTCAATGGTATCTAATTACTTTATGAAGCAAGTGGGTGAAAGATCAGCATTCAGCCATGTTTTCCTCAAAGTTTGTTCTCCGTGTTATGTGAATTAACCTTTGTTTCCTTTAATGAGTAGCTGTATTGTGCTGGTATAAACAAAGCTGTTGTCACTATAATGACTCACCTGCTGGTACTTTCCATGTGTCTCTCAACCTAGACGCAACAGTGGCTAATGCTTTTATAATTTTAATTTGATCATTTTTTTTAATGGAAGCAAACACATTTTCCTTTGACTTTTTATTTCTGGAAAGGTGTGCCTACCAGTTGTAATACAGGCCTTCTACAGTGCTTCTCCTTTAGACAGTATAATTGAGATGGTCTTAGTCCCTGTTGTCTTAGCAAATGCCAGAGATGGACAGAGAGCAGGCAGGGCGGCAACGGATTAACTTATCCAGAAAGGCATTAGGGCTGCCTATAGACATGCTGCTTCGTGTTCTAATTAGAATGCATCAGAGCAGACTTGATTAATCGAGTCTGCTCTGTGTTTTAATTAAAATGTTCCAGCATCACCTTACCATCATGTGTATTAACTCTCCCCGCCTCACATTTTAAAATGGCTTCAGGGACGCTTTAATTAAAGCTCATTGAAATTAGTTTTAGTTAAAGCATCCCTGCGGCCATTTTAAAATTTGGGGGACTTAATACACATGACAGCGAGCTGTTTTAATTAGAATGGATGTCGAGGAACTGCTTCAGTTAAAACAGCCCCTTCCAACCCCCAAACACATGTATAGGCACCCAAAGCTTCATAGGCAACAGCCTGCATCAGATAATATGAATATATTTGCAGAACAGAGATACTAAATAGAAAGGAATAACATAAATTAAAAACAAAGGATAGAGGGAAGGGGCACTACTGAGACACAAAGGTGGAGGTAAGATAGAGATTTTTTATCTTTATTTGCTAATCTTGCCACAAGAGATGACTCCAGTACTTTTGAATTGTTTCAATTGGATTCTTTTTTTCAAGTCCCAATGAAAAGATAAGGCTGCAGTCCTTGATCATTTGAAATTCACACCAGATCTTCCTCCTGTTACCTCTGAAATATTGCTAGAATTCAGTGGGTGCTTTCTCCTATAGCTGCAGCAATGGTCAATTCACATTTTCAACCTCTAGATTGAATTGGTATAATGTATTGCCTCATAAGCCAACCACCAAACACTCTAGTTGTACAGGAAGCTGCCAGCAGCTTTCTAACTCAAAACCCTATTTTTTTCAGTATATATTTTTCCTTCTAGTCAGAGTTATGCTTTCTCTTTCCATTCATTTTTGTATAATGCAATGAATTGGTTTGTTGTCATTAAATAGCATAATTTCATCCTCCAAATACCAATGCAGTCTTTACTTATATGAATCCACAGCGTATGGACTAGCGATGCCAGCATTCTGGTGAATGTAAGGCTCCCTCTCCATGTTACTACTACATTAACATAATGTGTTAATTGTGGCCTAAATGGCAAGGGTGCTACATGTGCATCCAATTTAAGGCACCCTAAAATGGCAAACCAGCCACAAAAATATTCTGCATATCACGTAACATATACTAATAATGCAGAACATTTTTGTGGCATGTTTCTGTGGCATCGTAAACTGAATGTGTAGCAGTTTGAGAGTAGCAGTGCATTCCCTGGACAGAGCCAACAATTGGATGGTGGTTGGCCCTGGCCCCAGCTCAGGCATCAGGCATCTAACTTGTAGGCACATTTTGGATGCTATCCTCAGTGCCAAAATTTTGCCTCTTGCCATGCACATATGGCTTGGCAGGAGATGTGATTGTTGGGATCAGGGATCTGATCCAGTGGTGCCTTTTAAATTAATGTGTCAGAGGCATAAGAATCAGACTTCAGGCTCTTGGGTTTTTCTTTTGGCTTGTTGCTTAGTTTGAGAAGCAAGCAGTACCTCTGTAAGGCTAGACTTAAAGCGTAGTTGACTTTTGTTGTTTACTTTTGTTAGTGAAGTGTAAGATGTTCTGCAACTCATTGTGTTGGAAGTGACAAAGAAAAGCAGTTTAATTTGTAAAATGTATGTAGCTCCCCCAAGTATGATAAGAGTCAGAAGTGTGACAGGAATACGTTAGGTTTCAGAAGAAATTTTAAAGGCCACTGCTCTATTGCCTAGGTTAAAGTTGTCTGCCTTTTAAAGACAATGTTGAATGGCACAAGAAGGACATGTATAAATTATTTATATGTAGTAAGTTCCTTAATGACATTATCTATGCAGTGTTCTTGCTTCTAGAACTTTTTGGTAGGTGGGCTTTTTGTTTCTTTGGGGGGGTGGCTTGATGGCAGTGATAATGGGTAGAGAACAAAATCCCTGTAGGCCATCAAACTACTGAAAGCAAATCTTACTCCCTGAATGTCCGTACCACTTCCTTCATTTGACCAGAAAGTGAAACTCCCAGAAAGTTACTGGTCTTCTGTTAGTGGCACCAAGAAAAGACCTTTCTAAAAAGGAATCTTCCTTCAGCTGTTGGAAACGGTTGTATATTGGACATGTTTCCATCAGTCCCTCTGGTGGTAAAGTTGTGGAACAGCTTAGGGGGTGACTTTGATCTCAAGAAGGAGCTTTAGCTCTTTGTCTAGGGACAGAAATTACACATAAACCAGTATAAGTAGTTACCAAGGATCCTGGTGTTCTTTCTTTAAAAATGGCAAATTCTTTGACAAAACACCCCAAATTCTTTGACTAAAACAATCAAAATCCATGTTTTTTCATGATTACAGTGAATTGCCACTATATACATAGGTATCAGTTGAACACAATGCTTTGTTGATATATTTACAATTTGAAAGCAATTTGGAAGCCTACCAGTGCTGCAATCATTATAGTAAATTCTAAATACCTATATATTTTGGTGTTTGATTTTGGCTATTTATCATAGAAAATCAGAGCTCCTTCTGCCCTTTTCACTCACCAGGATGCGGGTCCAGCTCCAGGTGCCCCATCCCAGCTGCATTGTGGTGCTGAGCAGCCTTGATATGCTGGTGCCCCTCACTCCCAGGTCACAGCTCCCCTGGGCCCTGCTGGTGCCCCTCACTCTCAGGCCACAGCCAAATGGGCCGTGTTGGTGCCCCTCAATCGTGACCAGCAGCCCTCTGCTCACCCCAGCCCTTCTGGAGGGGGACCCCAGCTGCCACAGCTATGGAACCAGGGCCAGGCCCCTCAGCCCCCTGCCTCCCCAGGAGCACTTAAGTCCCAGCTGCCACCCAGCTGCTGTGGCAGCATGAGAGTATTGAGCACAACTGCCTCTCCTACCCGTCCTTCCCCATGGGTGGCACAGCTGGAGCAGAGCCCATGATGGGGGAGGATGTGGGCTGCCAACTGTAGACTTGGGCCTCCCCATCCTGCTGCCTTCACCATGGGGGCCTCCACAGTCCAGCAAGTGGGACCCATTGTGGGAGGGCAGAGCAGGGTGGACAGGCTTAGTGCCGCCATCAGATACCCTGCGCCAGCCATGCCGCCATGGCAAGAGGCCTGGCAACAGTTTTCTGCCCATCCAGCAGCAGTGGGGGAAACAGAAGCAGGGAGCAGCACCCTTTGGGACCTGGTGTCGGCAACATCAAGCCTGCCCTCCCTGCTCTGCCCTCCCATGTTAGGTTCTGCCTACTGGGCCACGGAAGCTCCTAAGGCAGTGGTCACCAACTGGTCAATTGTGATTAACTGGTCGATTGGAGAGCCTCTGAGAGTCAATCTCAGTATGGGGGAGCTGAGCCCGCCCCCTCCCTTCCCCCCAAACTGAGATCGACTGTCAGAGACTCCATGATTGAGAGTGGCGGGACGCACATGCCTGGGCTGAGTCATGCCTCCTGCCACTGGAGCTGGGCTGGGGGAGTGGGACGGTCCCCCTCCATGCTCCCTGTCTCCGGGTGAGTTGGGCCCTGGCCAGTCCTGGCCAGGGGACAATTAGAGCTCAGGTGTCTCATCCAGGTATGTGGGGTGGGGGGGCTTCCACTGCTGCATGCACCCTGGCAGAGGCCTGGGAGGCACATGGCCCCCCAATCTGTGCATGGGGTGAGGCTGCTGCACACTGGGCTTTGCTCCATGAACCCTGCTGAGGCAGGGATTGGGGTGCAAAGCCCAGCATGCAGCAGCAGCTGCTTCACTCCCCACACAGATCTGGGGGATATGTGCCCCCTGGGCCTCCACTGGGTTGCATGCAGCAGTGAGAGCCCCCCCCCACATGCCTGGATAGGTTGCCTGGGCTCCAACCCTCCCCTGGCCTGGCCCTGCCCAGCCGGACTGCGGCTGCACTTGCCCTTGCCTCTGCCCCTGCCATTGCCCCGCTCCCTCCCTCATCACAGGAGCCTGAATCTGTCCCCTTCCCTTTGGCAGATTAATGAACAGGCAGGCCCCGGGATCCTCATCCACAGGGAAGTGAAAGCCACAGTTTTAAACTCAGCACCCATTTTTGGTGCCAAGTTTAAAACTGTGGCTTTCACATTTGCTTCCCTGGAAACTGGAAGCAGGGCCCCTCCACCAACGGGGCTAGAGGGAGTGAAGGCAGGGTTGGGGCTGGGCAGGGAGAGCTGTGCTGCATCTGAGGGAGGAGGACTGGCCAGGTGACACCATGCCTGGGGGAGGGGTGTGAGCCAGGTGGCACTGCGCCTGAGGGGAGGAGGCCGAGCTGGGCTGTGAGAGCTGTGTCCCACCTGGTGGCAGGGGGCGGTTGGGGCCAGGTTGGGCCAGCTGGGCCAGGAGCACCGCACCACACTGCACCTTTTTGGGTGGTAGCGCTGGGAGGGCTGGGAGGGCCTTAGGCCAAAATTAATCTTAGGCCCCCATAACCACCACTCCCAGTGCTGCTGCCACCCACCTACCAACACAGACATGGCACAGTGCTCCTGGCCTGGCCCAGCTCAGCTCTCTGCATCTGTGTGGCTGCATGGGGACAGCTGGGCAGCAGCTACCTGCGGGTAAGTGTAATGGGGCCCAGATAGGGAGCAAGACTGAGTCGCAGGCAGCTCACAGCAGGGGGGGAGGGGTCAGACGGCTGCCTCCATGTGATTGAGAGTAGGTTAGTGGGGAGGTCCTGTGTGGGGGAAATGTGTGTGTGTGTCTGTCTGCCTGGGTGTGTGTGTGTCTACCTGCATGTGTCTGTGTCCGTGTGCAGAGAGTAGAGTGAATGCACCTGTGTGTATGCATGTGTGTGTGTACAGGGGCAGGGAGCAGGGAGAAGAGGAGGCATGTGCCCCCCAGTGCGGTGGGGTCCACCCAGCCTTCCCGGCCAACACTAGGAGGGGAAAGGGCCCCTCTTGCCCACCCCCCCGGCAGCCCAGCTTCCATGGGGGGAGGGGGCCTCCAATTTTGTGCTTGCCCAGGGCTCCAGTACACCTTAACCCACCTCTGCCCCCCCTCTCCCCCAACTGATCTGATGGGTGGGGAGGGGTGGGGGGAGGTGGCACTAGATCCTGGGTTGCCTGTTCCTTCAAAAAATGATCTTCACTTTTAAAAGATTGGAGACCACTGCCCTAGGGGGAGGGCAGCAGGGCTGGGAGCCCTGACCCTACAGCGGGCAGCCCACATCTGTCCCAGCCCTATGTACAAATCGGAGGGGGAGGGGGGGGGCACATGCTCCTCGATGCACTCCTACCCAGGAGTGCACACAGCAGGAGGGAGCCAGCTCCTTCACCCCCCCCCTAGACATGCTGCCTGTGACTCCATCCTGCTCCCCAGCCAGGCCCCATGGCTGCACCTTTCTGTCCTAGATTCACATACTACCCCAACACGGCAGAACCCCCAGCCCTATTCCTTCTTTCTCCCTCCCTCCCTCTTGATCTCTCCCTTACCGTGGAGGCCTCAATCTGTCTCCAAGCTGCTCTCCACACTGCCTGGCTGCCATGTGCATGTGTGTGTGTTCTTCCTCAGTGTATGGAAAACCTAGATCCCTGGTTTTTGGAAACCAGTTCAAATCTGTAACACAACAGAAGTTCAATGCAAATAAACTGCTTTCAGAATGGCCAAAACTGGTTTTAAGATAAACCTGGATGGATGTGGTATCAGACTTAACTGATTTAGGTTAAATCGGTTTATTGAAGTTCTGTCCCAGATTCCCTCCAGATTCAAGTTAACTTACAGTCCCCCAGCATCCCAGCTGTGCACCTCCCCTACAACCCTCCCTTTGCAGAGTGGGCAGGCTACACTTAGCCCAAGCTGTCTGCTCCAACCAAGCAGGGAGGCATGCTCTAGTGCCCCCCATCTTCTGGCATGAGCCAGAAGAAGCATGTGGCTGCATTTCTGAAATCAAAAGTAAACCTCTGTTCACTTGCTTGTGAGTTCAGTTTACACAGCTTAGACTCATCTGCAGAAACTGAATCGATTCAGCCTCGGGCTTTTTGACTCTCTGTACTTTGCCCTTCTGATTCAGCTTAGTGCAGGGGACAGACTCCAAACTTTCATCAGCAAAGAGCAGTCTTATATTTTCTGATCTCTTTCCCTTAGCAGAGGTGGGACAGGAGATTTCCATATAGCAGCATTCTTTGGGTCCCATTTAACTTTTGGTTGTATGGCCTTCCCAGCCATAGCTATTATTAAACTCAGAAATCTTTACAGGAGAGTTTTGAATAAAATGCCTGGAATCCTAAGTTATTCTCAGACAAGAACAAGGTGAGAAAGCTGTTAGGACACGAGTCTAAATAGCACTAGTGTAGTGTAAGGGTAATTTGAGAGAAGTCAGTTGATTGTCACCAATGTAATGATAAAAAAGCATAATCAACCCCTCCAGTAGTTTTACTGTGCTGGAAACTATGTAAAAATATTGTTCATATAGTCTACATTTTATATATATGAAGATGTTAGTGCTTCAGTTCCCTAGGAGATTTTAAAATTGAAACAAACACTTTATTCCTAAGTAGCCTATAGGATGTGTAAAGAATACATTATGCACACTACCTTGGGGAATTTCCACTCACAACTGAATCCAGTCCAAGCTAATGTGGTCCACCATGTCTTGGATGGGTATTGTAGATAGAACACTGCACACTGGAATTCTGTTCCATATAGGTTCAGAATAATTACCAGGTTTGTAATTTTAAGTAGTGAACTGAACAGTGTAACTCAATTCTGTCACCTGCTTGTTCTTGTCATTCCAAAGAAATGGAGCATGTAGTGGAGTGTTTTTGCTTCGGCAAGGAGACATTCTCTTTTTTTAATAAATATGTATTTGGAGTTGGAAGTATCCAACACTTTGTAGAACCAGGCCCTAAATGCTATTTCTTACTCACTGTTTTCAAAGCACTATTATATGAGAAGAGATGCTGAGGATGGTTTTAAAATATTGCCGTGGCTTTGCATGGACAAGATACCTCCAGGTGTTTGTGAAATCAACACATGTACAGCTAGCACCTTGAATACAGTAATTTTCTTTGTGCTGCTGCTGAGACTGTTGCATAGAAATTCTATCCATGTGTTACTACTAGGAATCTACAAAACCCAGTCAATATATTGCTATATCAGTCAAGCAACAAAATTCTGATTTCTGAGTTGCTTTTTCCTCATTCAGATGTTTTTCTGAATATTCAGTGTTCCTGTATAGAATGTAGCTTATTGCCTGCCTGGTATTATAAGCGACATAATAATAATCAGGAAAAAGTAATTCAATTAATTTTGATTTATGTAGTATGTCTGGTATTGCACTTTTTATTTCATCAAACAACAATCTCTGGTAGTTTCTAAGAGTATGGTTCTTTGGCATAAGGAACTTAAAGCTGTGATGACTAAAAAAAAAAGGGAAAATAAGTCAACTGTGTATTTTAATTCTACCTGCATTCCTTAAAATGGATTTCTAATGTTAAATGCCTTTTTAACCTGTGCATAACAGTTCAGCTGAAACCTTGTCTCTGAGGTTGGCTAGTTTGATGGTTCCTATCTCAGGACTATTTAGTCCACATCCTGAATCCTCTGTCTCAAGTCACTTCCGTCTCCAAATATCTGTTCCATAAGGCCGCAGAGCATGCATAGACCCCTCCAATCAGGAATACTCTCTGCTAAATATGTGGGGTGACAACTGGAATTATGGAAATGTTTGATCTTGTGAAAGATAGTCAACCCTATCCTAACAACTATTGTTATGTTATAGCAAATCGTCGATCTTCCTTTAACTTCGAATGCCTCCGCAGACAAAGTAGTCAAGATGATATAACACTCTCTCCTACTTTCCACCACCGCACTGCTTTACCACTGCACTTAATGCAACAACAGGTAAATCAAGTATCTTAATTAAATAATACTAAGTTGAAACACTTCAACATGGCTATTCTATCTTGGGCTTTGTGGTTATTTGAAAATTCAATCAGTAAGCCATACATGTGGACTCTACACCTCCAAACACCACCTTGCTCTTGGAAGCAATGCTCCCAATCTTGTCCCATCCAAAATGGCATTTCAGATATGTTATACTATCCAATACCAATCAAAGACAGTTTTATTTGGGACACTATAAAAACATTTTGTTCTTGCTGTAATATGCTCACAGTAAAATAGAGAACCTAAGGGATACTGTCAAGTTCTGGGGCTTGCTTCATGTGAGGGTTGTTAATACAAGATTTGATTGGAATAACTGCCATGGGAACATGGCTATCCCACAGCTAGTGCCCCTTCAGAACCTTCCTCTTCTGCAAGTGTCCTTTATTGCACAAGCACTGTAGGGTACTATTCACTTTACTTTCAAAGCAGTAAAGCACTCTTTTTTGTCTTTCAGTCTGTGATCAGGGTTGTTTGGGTTTTCAGTTCTAACCAGTAATTTAAAATGAAGCATGCTGAAAAATGTAAATGTTTGCAGGAAAATGCCATATGATAGGTGAGCATTGCAAAAGCAGCATTGTTTCTACAAAGCCTCAAGGGCCAAATGCTGTTATGAGTTATATGTCTAGTAGCATGAGCGCTAAGAGCAGAAGCAGGCACAATGTGGATATGGCCACTTTCTAGGCCTTGGGACTTACTAGGACAAATGGTTCACTACATAGCTGTAAATCAAACTCCCATTAGCTACAGTGAGTTTGCCTTGAGTAAAACTGAATAAAGGTCCCATGGATTAGCTCTTTATATCTGATTCAATTGCACGATTGTATTTGCTGTAGCATAAAAAAATTCAGTGGTAATATATTATGTTATTATTATATACTACAATACAAGGTAGCACCAATAAAAGGTATCACCCTAAGAAATCCTTGCCTCTTCCGTAAGTTCTGCACCATCATGGCTATGTCACTCTTACACCACTATAAAAATTGGAGAATGTACTGGTTGCATGTAGCAATTGTCTTGCAACTCGTGGCAGGTTAGGATTGATGCATGCTTAAGCTGCATATAACATTTCTTTTGACTTGTAACATTTTCTGGTGGATACATACTACTGTTTGTAATTTAAAATGACTATACATTAGACTACTAATATATAAATCTGAGAATTTCTAAGTGCATTAATATCTGTATCCTTAAATGTGTAGTAGTAGATGATTACCAGTAATATACTAAGGTGGTGCAGACTGTCTGGAATAATTCAAAATATATATATATATTGGGAATGAGTATATTACTCCTCACCTTGGCTGCCTTCTAAAACTGTAGCTCATTGCGGTGGATGTAGTCTTTCTGGACTTTAGGAAGGCCTTCGACACTGTCTCTCACCCCATTCTCATTAAAAAATTAGGTGACTGTGGCGTCGAAGCCTACATAGTTAGATGGGTTGAAAATTGGCTAGAGGGCCACGCCCAGGCAGTGGTGGTGGACAGGTCATTTTTGATCTGGAGGGATGTGGGCAGTGATGTCCCCCAGGGCTTAGTCCTCGGGCCCGAACTGTTCAACATCTTCATCAGCAACTTGGACAAGGGGGTGAAAAGCACTTTGTTCAGATTCGTGGCTGACACCAAGATGTGGGGAGAAATGCGCATGCTGGAGGAGAGGGACAGGCTGCAACTAGATATAGACAGGTTACGGGGTGGGCGGAGGGGTACAGCGCAGCCCATCAGCCATTCCTGGGGCTGCGGCAGGCAGCAAAGTAGGGGGAGCTGTCAGTGGGTGCAGGGCACGGCTCTTGTTGCTACGTGCCCCCTGGGGGGGCTGCAGGCTGGGGGGCTATGCCAGTCTCTTT